CTCCCTCCAATATTCATTCTCCTTCCTTCCTTCCTTCCTTCCCTCCTTCCTTCCTTCCTTCCTTCCTTCCCACTTAGCACTAGCACTTAAGACTTATCTACCGCTTCCCAGTGCTTTCCATCCCTCTCTAAGCGGTTTACAGAGCCAGCCTCTTTCCCCCAACGATCAGGGTCCTCATTTGACCCACCTGGGAAGGACGGAAGGACGAGTCAACCTTGAACCTGGTGAGATTTGAACTTCCAAAATGCCGGCAGCTGGCAATTAGCAGAAGTAGCCTGCAGTACCGCACTCTAACTACAGCGCCACCGGGGCTCAGGCAGCCTTTCCTTTCAGCCAGGACTTCCGGGAGAAATCCGTCCCTCCATTTGATTGTCCTTCGTCTCTTTCTGTTATCTTGTCTCCTTTAGCTTTTTGCGAGGATGACGTGACCCTCTGGGTGGCCGGGCTGAACTGGCTGGTGAGAGACACGCGGCAATCACCGACTCCTCTGCAGACTGAAAGGTATGGGCCGGCGGGGGAGGGGAAGCGTCGCCAAATTTTGGAGCGAACGATCCCACTCCTTTGGGGACTTTCTTGGAAGGGGCTCCCCTTGAACGGATTAAAAGTCTCCGGCTTGTCTTTCCTCCTCCTTGCCCCAGTTTAAGACGGAGTGTGTCCACACGGGTCCCCAGCCCAAAGAACAGTCTTGATGCTCCTCCTCAAAGTTTTCCAGAGAGGAATAGGGGGAGCTTGGAGGTCTTCTAGCCCAGGGGGCGGGGTCGCCAACCTCTTGGACCTCAGGGACCACCAAACTCATCATTTTAAATCCCACGGACCGGAGACCCTGGGAAAATCCCCCCCCCCAAACAAGTCTGCAGGAAAATCCTCCACCCCGTTTTCCTACCAATCCATCGATCTTTATTTGGGATCGCAGGATACCATCTCCAGCTCCATTCTCAAGGGGAAAGAGAGAGAGAGACTTTTGGCTTCATGCAAGGAAAGCAGCAGAAGCCGCAGAAGTCTTTCTTTCTCTCCCCCAAACTCCGCCAGGAATGAGTTTTTGCCGACGCCGCCTCTTGGAGCAGGAGGCCTTGCAGGGTCCCAAAGACTCAGTTCTGGCGGAGTTTGGGGGAGAGAAAGAAAGACTTTGGCTGCTTTCCTTGCGTGCAGCCAAAAGTAGAAGAAAGAAGCAGCCCGGTGGCCAGGCCAGGCGCGGGGCGCGAGTCCCCCCCCTCCACCCTTTCCCCCTTCCCCTCACTACCTCGTGTTACTCGCAATGTAAGCAACACAAGTCTTGTGTTCCTGTGCAGCCTGGATTAATTGTTTTTTTTTGGGGGGGGGGACATTTCTCTGCGGACCACCAAAACTTTCTCATGGACCACCAGTGGTCCCCAGCCCACCGGTTCTAGTCCAAAGAAGGGTGGGTCAACCCAGGGGTGGCATTCCAAAATCCCAGTAACCTATTCGCTGCCCAGTTGCTGGGTGGGCGTGGCCGTGGAGAGCGTGGCCTACTGAAACCCCGCAAGGACCGTTTTCCACCTTCCCCAGAGTCTACACGCTTCCCTTGGGCTTCTGGGATGGCGACAATGGCCTCCCCTCAGCTCCGGAGGGCCTCCAGAAGCCGGAAACAGGCCCGTTTCCGGACTTCTGGAAGACCCGTATTCCCTCCTTCCAGAGCCTCTGCGTGGACCCTGTGCTTACCTGCATCCAAAATGGGCCACGGGAGGAAAGGCGGTGGGGTGGGTGGGGCCAGCTGGTCGGTTCAAATACTGTTCTGACCCAAACTTTGTTCCAAGCAAACAAACACCGAACAGAGAAAAAAAAGCAAAACCGTTTTTCAGGCTTCTCTGTGGATTTTATTCATTCACAGTAAAAACACTATGAAAACTAATTGTCTCTGATAAGAAGGAGCCTTGCCAAGGTGGTGCAAGGCTGCCTAAAGCACTAGATTAAATTGCCAAGAAATATTTCAAACCAATAGTTCTTCAAACCCAAACTAAGAGATCCGAACTTCCACAAGGCTTGAAAGGCAAGAATTTCTTTGCTTCCTGCAAAGAATCCTGGTCTCTCAGGCTGGCTTTTATCCCTTAAGGGAGGGGCAGCCTTACCCCCGAGTCTGCCTGTGCTGCTGCAGCTGCTCTTCCCTTCGAGCAGCCCTGCACTGGGCACAGGCTCCTTGGGGTCCTCTTCCTCACTGCTGCCAGCCTCCACCATCTCCAAAAGGCAGCACTCCACTCCCTGATGGTCCTGGCCCCATCCCTGCATCACACGCAGCCCCCTCATCCGAGTCCTCGCTCTCCCAGGCCTCAGCCGCCCGCACCTGCTGCCGGCGAACCACAATAAATACCGGTTCGGCAAACCAGATGTAACTTCAACATCCGGGTCGCCCAAACCGGTGCAAACCGGCTGAATCCCCATCCCCCGCAGGTCAACCCATTCTCCGTAGCATCAGAAGGCAACCCAAGAAGCATTGGATGGAAACTACCGTATTTTTCGCTCTACAAGACGCATCTGCCCATAAGGCGCACTCCGGTTTTGGGCCTCCGTGAGTCCCACTTTGGGGGCTCCGCATGTCCTGTTTTTTCAGCCCGTTTTGGGCCTACCGCACATCCGTGAAGGAGGCCTCCACACAGTGGCCAAAAACGGCCCGGAAAACAGGACTCACGGAGGCCCAGACCTGCTGCAGGACCTGGCTATATCTAGTTTAATGAAAAGAAGGACTAAGGGGTGACACGATAGCAGGGTGCCGATCTTTGAGGGGTTGCCACAAAGAGGAGGGGGGGTGTCAAACTATCCTCCAAAGCGGGGGGTCTCCAACCTTGGCCACTTGAAGCCTAGTGGACTTCAACTCCCAGAATTCCCCAGCCGGAGAGGAGAAACTTGAGGAGTTTTTAAGGAATGGAGGAGGAACTTCTTGACAGGGAGAACAATTATCCAGCGGAACGGCTTGCCACTTGACATTGTAGGTGTTCCATCCCTGGAGTTTTTAAGAAGGGACGGGAATGCTTGAGCGGGGTGGGTGGGGGTGGACTAGAAGACCTCTAAGTCCCCTTCCAACTCTTCTGTTATTCTGCCTACTGGAACGTACCCCTTTCTAAAAGTATTTTTCTCCTCCTTCAGATGGCTGAGGAAGCAGTTCGACTCCATGGACCGATCTAGAGAAGGCAGGTGAGTACATGAGGACCGTTTTCTCTTGGAAGGGCGTGGAGGCTTCCGTGGAGGAACTGGGGGGCTTTTTTGGGGGGTCCCCTTGAGAGGGGAGGGTTCGACACAAGCAGCCACAGCGAACAGCCCCTGGCAGAAACTTTCCTGTTAGTCCCTTGAGTTACGAGAATCTGGACGGGCTGACTGTCATTTGCTTGGTCAGGTGAAGCTTGACGGATTCTGGGGGAGGTTAGCTTTGCGGTGGTTTCTGTAGCAGGGAGGGTGGTCCTTGTGGCCCCCTGAGCTTGGTGGTTCTCTGGCAGATGTTTCACGACCCAAGTAGGTAACATCATCAGCGCTAGAAGAGGTGGAGATGGCAGAGAGGAGGAGGAGGAGGACGACTGTAGGGCTTTGGTGGTCTCTGAGCCTGGTGGTTTCCTTGCAGACGTTTCATGACCCAACTAGGTAGCATCATCAGGGCTAGAATGGAGTGGGGCTTGTGAGGAGGAGGAGGAGGAGGAAGAAGAAGAAGAAAGAGAGGACTATGGGGTCCTTAGTGTTCTCTGAGCTTGATCTTTTTCTTGCAGACCTTTCATTACCAAACTAGGTAATTTCATCAGAGAGTCACACAGAGCACTTAAGGGTGTACGAATGTGTGTTGTGTGCAGATGTTTCGTGACCCAAATAGGGAACACCATCAGTGCTAGAAGGCAGTGGGGTTTGTGGGGAAGAGGAGGGGGAGGACCGTGGGATCCTTGGTGGTTTACTTTCAGACGTCTCCTGGCCCTACTAGGTAACATCATCAGTGCTGGAAGGGAGTGGGGTTTGTGGAGAGAAGGAGGAAGAGGAGGGCTGTGGGCTTCTTGCTGTTCTCCGAGCTTGGTTGGTTTTTTTTTTTTGCAGATGTCTCATAATCCTACTAGGTAACATCATCAGTACTAGAGGGGAGTGGGTTTTTTTTGTGGGGAGGAGGGGGCATATGAGGCACTTGGTGCTCTCAGAGCCTGGTGGTTTTCTTGGAGACGTTTCATTACCAAACTAGGTAACATCATCAGTGCTAGAAAGAAACAGGGTTTATTTACAAGTGGCTTGTCTTGCCAGTGTTGGAATTCTGCTTTCTTCTTAGCAGTTCCTTGATTAAATTGTTTTTTTTGCTCAAATTGTTGGTCTGGTGTTAAACAAACCACAACCTAGTGAAGGAACTACCACAAACATTTCCCACCAATAGTGACAGTGCTGGATCCCCGTGCTTCGCTACGAAACTACGCGGCCGGGCTTAGTTTTTGGGAAGGAAAATAAGGAGGGAAAAAATTCTGCCTCTGCCTCCCAGCATCGTATTCATCTGGCTGACGTCCTGTCAGTGTGTGAGAGAGTGGAGGGCTGTTTGGAAACCGAAAGAGTATTTGCTGTGTGAGTAAGAAGGAGACAGCAAGGAGCCTGGGCGTGGCTTAGCTCAACTGTTCTGTACTAAAGCTGTTTGGTGCTGTGAAACTGCAACTCCTCTGCTTGTGTTTTGCATTTGGAAGAGATTTCTTTTCAGGTGGAGAAGGGGAAATAATAGTAATAATAATAGTAATAGTAATAGTAATAATAATAATAATAATAATAATAATAATAATAATAATAATAATAATAATAATAATAATAATATAATGATGATGATG